CAGTGGGCAAAATAGAATTTCCTCAGTTTCGTAAGTTTAATTCTGACTCCATTCTCCTGGGGTGGAGAAACCTCAGCCTTGATATTTTCTGGATCTTCCTCAACTTGCCCAGGGTTTCAGAGATTCACATGGTGCTGGGGTACCTGGGGGAGCCCGTGTGGTCTTGAGCTCTACGGAGTGGTGGCCGACAGACCTCTGTGTTTCGTGGGGAGGCATGGGCGCCGCGAGGCTGTCTGTGGTCCTGCTCTAGACATGTCCCCACAGCCATTTATCCTGTGGGCTATCCCACCATCCGGGCCTGGTGGGCAGCAGGGTACCCCTGCCTCTTTCTGGAACCTTATCTGTCCTGCTCATCGCTTGCCCTGCTTACCTCCCAAGTCTGAGGGAGGTCTCGCTCCTTTTCTGTTTTCTCCCAAGCATTTTGTTTACACCAGAATTCTTGTCCACCTCCTCCTGCTCCCCTCCCTCTATACCCCAGGGCCTTTGAAACCCCAAGCTAGGAAGATTGTAAGTTTTCCTGACCACCTCTGAGAATGTGAACCAGTAGTCTGAGGAGGAGGGACCAAAACAGGCGGGGAGAAAAACCAGAATGGAGATGAATAGATCAGAAAATATTCTCCTGCACACAAATCATTTAATCCACACCAAAATCCCCGGGTATGTTACTATGCCCATTTTATAGATGAGGAAACTGAGGCCCGCAGAGGTAACTGGCATGCCCAAGGTAGATTTGGGTCCAAAGCTAGCTCTGTCTCCACCACAACACCACTTCAACTCAGGATCCTGTGCTGTCCTCTGGGGCCATGGCTCAGCAGGCCCCCCCTGCTCCCCCAGATGGCACTTGTGGCCCAACATTGTTTTTTCTTGTCTCCCCACTTGAGCTTCCCCAACCTTCCACCCCATCCCTCCAGCCGGGCAGTCAGTGGCGACAGTGACCAATCAGAGATGGTGGAGGGCTGCGAGGTTCGCCCGTCACCTGCCCCGGGCCCTGCTGGCCCAGGCGGCAGCTAATTTGTGTGCATTTGAGCCCTGCCTTTCCAGAGGCAGTGAGCCTTGCCTACTGGCTCAGTAACATGAGCCCCCATTTACCAAGCTCCACCAATCTTTTTTATCTCATTGGACGGCCCCTCACCTCCAACTGAGGAAGCAAGTGCTGGGGCTCAAGATTTAAAACTACCCAGGCTTTGTCCCTTCCCCACCAGAACTCCAGAAGGAACCTAGTGCCAAGACACCCTCCCTCCCTCCCATCCATGCTCCACCTGTGCAGGCCTCCCCGCCCCCACCTCAGAGCAGGAGCCTGGTGGGAAGTGGGATGTGAGGCCCTCCACTCACACCCTGGAACAGTGCAAGCAAGGGAGGTCCCTGCCAGCAGTCAGGAGGCCACACAGAACCACCCTGCTCGCCTGGCCACAGTCCCTTGAGCCCAGCTGCAGCCATGCACAACCTGTACTGGTTTCCTTCATCTTTTCTCTTTAAATCGATTGACTTTTTTTTTCCCCAGCATGCTGTACATTAGATCTTAGACTTACTCATCCTTCATATGAGGCTTTGTGCCCTTTGACTAACCTCTCCCCGTTTTTCCAACCTCAGCTCCCGATGACCATTCTACGTCCTGCTTCTGTGAGCTCGAATCTTGCAGACTCCACATGAGGGAGGTCACGCGGCATGTATCCGTCTGTGTCTGGCTTAGTTCATTCAGCATAGTGTCCTCCAAATTCATCCATGTTGTCACAACATGGATGTCTTTTTTTTTTTCTTATTTTTTTTTAAACTTTTTTTTAACATTTATGTATTTTTGAAAGACAGAGAGAGCCAGAGCGCAAACGGGGGAGGGCCAGAGAGAGAGGGAGACACAGAATCTGAAGCAGGTTCCAGGCTCCAAGCTGTCAGCCCAGAGCCCGATGCGGAGCTCGAACTCACGGACCGCGAGATCATGACCTGAGCTGACGTCGGCCGCCTGACCGACTGAGCCACCCAGGCGCCCCTGATTTCTTTCTTTTTTAAGGCTGAATAACATCTCACTGTAATTTTCCTTATCCATCCATCATGTGATGGACACCTAGGTTGTTTCCACACAGTGGGTATTGTAAATAGTGAAACAATGAATAGTGAAACATGGGTCAGATATCTCTTTGGGATCCTGATTTCATTCCCTTTGGCTGTATACCCAGAAGTGGGATTGCAAGATCAATGGTAGTCCTACTTTTATTTTTTGAGGAACCTCCATACTGTTTTCCAATGGTGGCCGTACCAGTTTACGTTCCTGCCAGCAGTGTGCGAGGCCTCCCTTTTCTTTCAGTTGACTGTTATTTTTTAACTTAGCCCCATCCTAAACAATAATAGCTGTAAAATCACTTTTTAACCCATGTTAAATTCTTTCTAAAAAAAAAAAAATGTGGAGCTATGGAAATGAAAAGCATCCGACCATGCACCAGCTAAAAGAGCGTGCCAGCGAGGATGTGCTTCCTGCACTGGGAGCACTGGGTCTGTCCCCAGACGGCGAGGCTGAAGCTGGGAGAGAGCGTGGCCGTGTCACAGCTGTGTCACAGTGCTCCAGACACGAGCAATGCCACGGGAAAGTAGCATCAGGGTCAGCCGGGAGGGTGGGATCCCAGCTCCACCAGTGGCAGCTCTGTTCCCCCACACATGTCCCTTTGCCTCTTGGAGCTTGCGTCCCACGTCTCTATCATCCCTGCTGTGGGGCAGCGACGTTACCCAATCCATACGGGGTGCACGATGTCTGAAACGTGCCTGGTGCCAGCCTGGCTGGCCCCTTCCCCAGGCTTTTCGCTCTGCAGGGTTGATATGAAGGGCGTGACAGTGACCCAGCTGTCAGGGGGACCCCAGACACCCTCAGGGGAGCCGGCTCCCACCTTACCACCAGTCACTTCCCCGCCGCCTTCTGCCAGCACCAGGGCAGTGTCCCTGTGGGCCCTGCGCAGCATGACCCGGGGCAGGATGCCTGCCAGGTGACCTGGCTCCCTCCCCATCTGTCTGGCCAGCTGCACATGGGTTGTCCAGCTTCAGGGGCAGGAGGTGTGGGCCGATGCTCTGGCTGACCTGGCCGGCTCCAGCCCTGAATCCATTTCTCCCAAAGTGAGGAAAGAGGCCCCTGAATTTTTCCACAGCTGGGAAGTGCACCAACTGCTTCCACTACAAGAGATGTGTCTCATTATAAATGAGGCATCCTGCTGCCGCGGAGAGTTCCGGGTCAGCTTCACCCCCCAGACTCCAGATGCCGGAAAAAGTCAGAGTAGACAGACACAGTGGGACATCTGTTAAGGGCCTTCCCAGCACCGTGTTGCTGTCCCAGGGGCATCTGGGGAGGCCCGAGTCATGGGGTGGGGGTGGGAACGAGGGGGGGAGGGGCGAGCAGCGCCCACAGCTGGAATCTGGACAACTAGCTGCCTAGATGGCCATAGAACCCTGCTTGGGTGCTTTGGGTGGGGGTCTCAGATGGAGAGCTCCAGCGGCTCTTTCAGGGCTCGCTGTGAGAGTTGGGGTGAAGGTTCAGGGACATCCAAGGGGCTGCTCATCTCCCACATTCCTTGAATGACACAGACCCTGGTCCTCAGTCTCCACATGCTTCCACTGTCCTGCACAAGCCCCGCTCGAGCCCTGCCTCTGTGTCCACGCGCTCTCTCATTCTGCACCAGCTCCCTTGCCCAGGGCCACAGCTGTCTGTCACTTCAGGGGCTTCTCTGCCTCCAGAGCCCCTAGCCAGGCATCCTGACCTCAGGCCTGGCCTCCTGGGGGCAGGGCTCCCACTTCCTCTCTCCCTCTAATCCCTCTGGGGGCTGGCCCTCCTGCAAGAGAAGAGCCCCATCCGCCCTCAGCCCAGCTCTCCGCATCCTCCCTCTTTCCCTCCTGTCCCAGCCTCACACCCTGCCTCCCCCGACTCCTGGCCTCTCTCCAGCTTCCCTAGCCTGGCTCCATGAGCCTGGCTTCGACTAGGAAGCTGGGGTTGGTGCCCGAGGAGACAGGGCAGGTGGGCAGAGCCTGTGAGGTGGCACCGAGCAGTGTGGCTGGAACAGCCACTTCCCGGCCCCTGCATTTCTGGGCTGTGTGACTCCAGGAACCTTCTTCTTTTCACTGTTTATTGCTTCATTTATAAAACCAGGACAGGGCAGGTGCCTTGGAGCACGCTGTGGGTGCTTCCTGTGTGTGAAGCACGCGGTGACTGCCTCCCACTAGCACCAAACCAGAGCTGGTAGGCAGAGGACCGGAAGGCCAGGACATTAACATGGAATTTAGAAGTCAGTGCCCAGATAAAAGCCTGCTTCCAAGGGATGCACGCCAGGGAATGGTGCGGGAGCTGGTTTTAACACAGTATTATGCCTGGCCCCCTCCCAATACCGATGAAATCAGGATCCCTGGGTGTAGGGCCCCATCTGTATGTTTTTAAAACTCTGCAGACGGTTCTACTGTGCAGCCAGGATGGAGGCCCGTGGCTGTCGAGTCCTTTAATGCAAACTGAGGCCAAGAGGTATTTCGTCTTCCACTCTAGAGAAATCCACACCAACCCTTAGAAGGCTTATGTAAGATAATGTATGTTCCTTCCTGCCTTCATGCCTTCAACATGAGCACTTATGGCAGAGTCAAAGATTAAAGATTAAAAGCATGTTAGGGGTGCCTGGGTCGCTCAGTCGGTTAAGTGTCCGACTTTGGCTCAGGTCATGATCTCGCAGCTTGTGAGTTCGAGCCCCGCATTGGGCTCTGTACTGACAGCTCAGAGCCTGGAGCCTGTTTTGGATTCTGTGCCTCCCTCTCTCTCTGCCCCTCCCCTGCTTGCACTCTGTCTCTCTTTCTTTCTCAAAAAAAAGTAAACATTAAAAAAATAAAATAAAAGCACATTACATACCATTGGTTCCTGATGTCAAGGGGTCAGGACCCGATGGGAACTCCTGGCAGGCAGGGGGGTTGGGGACGGTGACAAGGTGGTGGAGAAGGCCCTTGGCCCCCGCTCCATCCCTGACTAATGCTACTGTTTCTCTTCACAGGTTGCGAGGGGCTGTGGGACAACATGAGCTGTTGGCCCTCCTCTGCCCTGGGACAGACTGTGGAAGTGGGGTGCCCACAATTCCTCCGGATGCTCACAGGCAGAAACGGTAAGCTCTCAGCCAGAGGGTCTTGGCTGCGAGACAGTGGGTGGCCCTCTGGGTAGGGCCTTGGCCCGGAGGCCACAGAAACTCTAGGGACAAGCAGTGACTGGAATGGTGACAGGTGGTCTTTGTTGGGAATCGGAGGCCTTGCTGGGGGTGTGGGGCAGGTTCCACTCGTGGGGTCCCAAGGAAGGGGGCCAGGAAGCATTGTATCAGAAAGTGATGAAGGAGACTGGGTTTGCTTCTCTCTGTCCCACACCTGCATTTATGGGCTCCCCCACTCCCTTTGACGTTTCTGTCCCCTAAGCAACCAGACGCCTTGTTCTGGCTCCTGGATCTGGGTCCCACCCTGGCACAACCCGACTTTCCAGAAATTTACTTCCTGTGTGTCCATTCTGTCAGGCCCTGCTGATAAACCACACCCTCCCTGAAAGCCCCTGGCCTCCTGGGTGATCTCTTGGGGAGGAAAATTGCAGTTTACAAGGATTTTCTTAATTTGAGGCAGAGAAGTAGGTAGACTGTTTCAGACAGGGGATATTCAGGGACTAACATTAGCTGAAGCTCCCCTACGTGCCAGGCATTTTTAAACACATGGGCTCATGCAATCATTACAGCACCCCTACAAGTCACAGACCTTTCTCCTCCACGTGACCCAGTAGAGTGGAGATAACAGGGACAAATAGGGGCTCAGCAGTTTGCTTAAGGTTCACAGCTAGAAGACAGCGAAACTAGGATTCAAACCCAGATTTCTCGGACTTCAAAACTATGCCCTGTCCTCAAGGGCATGGTCAAGGTGGGACTCTGGCCCCCGTGGTGGGGGTGATGCTGGGTGGAGGCAAGGTCGCTTCATGGCCTTTGGCCCCTGGCCTCAATGAGGTCATTTAAAGTCTAAAGCCTGACCCAGCCCTGCTGCCCTTCTCCCTTCACTGGTTTGCAGCAAGAAAAGCTGGCCAATGAGGCCCTTAACAAGAAGGAACCAACAAAGATGATTTCACACAAAAACCCACCAGCATCCCAAAGCTAGGGATGGAAACCAAGACTGGGCGGTGTGGGAGAGGAGTGTGAATTCCTCAGTCTGTAATTCTCTAGTACGCATGTGTGCACACGTGCGTGCACGCGTGCACACGCGCGCACACACACACACAAATTCGGGGAGCACACTGTGGTAGCTGGCTGTCCCTCTCAGCCTCATTGGTACCCAACATACAGGAAGTGTAGGGGGACCAGGTTTGAGTCCCCCTCTCCGCTTACTGCTTGGATGCCAGCTGCAGACACAGACAGATCTCCCAAATCTCAAAGCCTTCGTTCACACAGTGCCTTCCCCGCCTAAAGTCCAAAACGGGTGCTTCTAAAAATATTTTTTTTTACATTTATTCATTTTTGAGAGACAGAGAGAGAAAGAGAGAGAGCACGAGCGGGGGAGGGGCAGAGACAGAGGGAGACACAGATTCCGAAGCAGGCTCCAGGCTCCGAGCCGTCAGCACAGAGCCCGACGCGGGGCTCGAAATCACAAACCGCGAGATCGTGACCTGAGCCGAAGTCGGACGTTCAACCGGCTGAGCCACCCAGGAGCCCCCAAAACGGGTGGTTCTGATTAGCAGCAGGCCTGAACGTGACTCCGCTTCTGCCCACATTGCCTCTGCCAGAGCTAAGTCATGTGGTGACATTTAACTGCAAGACACATGGGAAAGTGTGGTCCTGCCAGGTATCAGTCTCTGCCTCAGAGCCCAGGCTACTCATTCTCGGCCTCATTTTTCTCGCCTGTAAAATGGGGAGAATAAACAAGACAGGTCCCTAAGGCCGTGCTTGGAAATGAACTTTAAATACCTTCCTTTATCTTTTCTCTCCCTCTCTTCTCCCTTCTTGCCCTCCCGCCCATCCCCCCAAGTCCCCCCACCTGCACACACATGCTAGGAAACTTACCAACAGCTTGACCACTCCCAGCGTGACCCCTCCACATCTGTGTCTGGGACCCACAGAACTCTAGAAAGACCCATGAGGTTAATCCACACATGGCTGCCCTGGAGTAAACGCTGGTCAGGTGTAAGGCTAGGACCAGATCCTGGACTCCCTGTCCAGTGCTCCTCCCTCACTGACCAAGTTCTCCTGTTGGAGGGACTAGAAGCTCTCCTCCTTTCCCAGCCTTCCCTTCACAGCCTTCCCAGAGCCGCGTTGCCTCTGCCTCCCCCAACACCACCGGTCCTACTTTCCCGCAGAGCGCCAGGCAGATCCGTGCTCATGGCCAAATCCTTCCCAATCAATTGCTAGAAACCCTGCCTGGCTCATTAACTAGTAGCCCTCTCACTCCTCTTTCAGGCTCCCCAGCCCTTTCATTGCTCGAGACCTACCGGAGTTCACCCAGGAATACAGTTCAGGTCTGCACGCTGTGGGGGAGGAAGCTGGGGTCCTACGCCTACCTCTGTTGCAGTTTCCTCTTGATGACACATGGTGTCGCTGTGGGGCCGCGGGACCCACCCGTCCGCCTGTCCACAGGGACCCTGCACCCCAAGCGTTACCCACACGTTGGGAGGCAATGTCATCTCCCCTCCCCCACCTCCCTACCACGGGGCCACACCCAGCCCCAGGCCCAGGGCATTGGCCAGTCCAGGAGCACAGGTTGGGACCAGGCCAGCCTCAGTCACCAAGAACCATCTCCTACCTCCACCTTCACTCCTCATAGATCCCAGCACCCCGGTCTCCTCTCAGGAGGGAAGGCTCCCCTTAGGGGTGTCCTACAGGATTCCAGGGCTCACCCACCCAACCCAGAGAGGAGCACCCGATGAGGACAGTCTGGTGTTTTGGTCCAACCCTTCCTTCTGACGGAAGAAAATAATAATAATAAAGTAATTCTTTCTCAGGGCACCCACCACCTGGGCCCAGACAGGATGGTTGTCCGTGTGACTGGAGAAATGGCAGGCTGGACTCTGCCCCCAGATATTTTTCTGTGTGTGCCAAGGTCTAGAGTGTTCCCTCCAGGATGCATTCCTTTGATTCTTAATAGGACACTGGTCTTCCAGAGTGCCTCATTAAAAAACACACTTCCCGGGCAGGGTCAGACCTTGGCCTTTCTCTTCTATCTTGGGACTGGAGCCTTAAAGCAGTAGAGGTTCCTAACCTGATTAGGGTCCTGGAGCCTTTTGAGGATTGGATGAAACTTTGGACTGGCTTTTCCCCAAACTGCACATATGTATATGCACAAAAATCCTGACCGTGCCCTCAGGGTCCCTGGAGGTACACATTGGTCTGAAATGGGAATCACTGATCTTATCTATTAGGAATTAAACCCAGGGGAAGTGGGTGGGGTTGAAGGGACTCCAGAGAGAGGCTAACCCTTGTCTCTGCGTTTCTGCCAAGAGCCCCGTCAGTAAAGGGCACTGCCTTGTGAGCCACGCTGGGCGTCTGGCCTGGGTCACATCCAGCATCTGTCTTGGGAATCCCCCTGGGTCGGTGAGAAGGGCTCAACACAGGCGGCCCGGCCCAGCCTCTAGGCACACGCTGTCTGATAACCTGTTCTGGGCTCCAGGGAGTGGGTGTTCTCGTGGTTCAACTTCCCATCCAACCAGCCTAAATCTGACCACCATTCTCTCCTGTCTGACAACCTGTAGCTTCCTTGACTTAACTAGAAATCTTCCAGCCCCTACGAAATCCCGAGATTCCAAGCCCCACCGCTCCTGGTCTGTTTGCGAAAGGCCAAAAGGAAAAGGGAGCCATGCCTCGGTGTTTGCAGGTACTCAGCCTGGGCAATTCTGATATGCTGTCGTGCTTCCTGCCCTGTCCTGCAGAGGGGGTGGTTACTCCGCAGGGCACAGAGAAGTCATGCACCCAGGTGACCCCAAGATGACCAAGAGGCGATGCTGGGTTTCAGACTCAGATCTGGCTAGTTCGAAACCCGTGCTCCAGGTCTCGTGAGCCTTCCTTCATAGGCTGGGCATACCCAGAGTCCAGAGGGCGTGGTCTCCTGGCGCCGGAAGCTGTCCCTGGGACTGCAGGGAGAGTGCCCAGGCGGGAGGGAGGCACAGTGAAGAGTCATGTCCTGGCTGGACCCTGTGGCCCAATTCCGGGCCTTGGTTTTCGTATCTGTAAAGGAAGCCAGCAGCGCCTTCCTCACTGGGTGCTGTGAGGATTAGATCGGAATCTGTAAATTAGCATAGTGGCCGCTTCTAGAAATGCCAGCCATATTTCTCCAGCTCAGTGGAACCCATTTGACCCTGAACCCTATGAGCCAGTGGTCCAGACCCTGAGGCCTGAGGAGCACGGGAGGCCCAAATGGGGTGGTTAAGGCCCCTCCAGAGGGTACCCATTAGAGCAGGTGGCGTGTGAGGGCTCCTATCTCCAGGGCTGTGACCAGCCCCCTGTCACACCCGCTGCAGCCGGACCCAGGGACCAGCACCCGGCTCTCCTGGGCATCCAGAGTAGAGGATGCAGCTGGGCTAGTCAGTCCATGGAGGGAAACTCCTCCTGGAGCTCCTTCTTGGACTGGCAGCTTCCCTTCCCCAGTCTTCGGGCTCCTGCTCTACAAGCTCCTTGTGGGCAGACCCCCCTGTTCTCTCACAGAGGAGCTTAGCCCGGGGCTGCTGCTTCTCCACTCAGCTGCTTGTCTAGGCAGCCAGCCAACGCTGGATGAGCAGGGGCTCTGGGCCGGCACCGGGAGCCCTCGGGAGCTCATCGTCTGCTGGGCGAGGCAGGGAAGCACAGTGAGCTCTGCGGGAGGACCGCAGTGATGCAGAGAAATGCGGAGCTGGCCCTGTCCTGGTTGCTGGACCACCAAGAAGGCCTTCCCTCCCGTGAGGAGCAGCTACCTGGAAGGTTTCCCTCGGTGCCGCTCTGGTGGTTTGCAGGTGTGGGGAGCAGGACGTGAAGTTAAATGTGAAACAGAACTTCCTTGGCGTGGGAGCAGCACCCGGAGCCTGAGAAAAGTTCACTCTGGGAGTGGCCGGGTCCCTGCCAACCACGCCAGATTCTTGGGGGATCCAGCCTTTAGATGGTGGCAGGACCCGGGATCAGGATACGCAGGAGAAGGAAAGGGGATCGGCACATAGTGTGTGGCTAAGAGTAAGGGCGCCCGGATGGCTCAGTCGGTTTAAGCATCCAACTCTTGGTCTCAGTCCAGGTCATGATCTCACGGTTTCGTGGGTTCGAGCCCTGCATCGGGCCCCGCGCTGGCAGCGTAGAGCCTGCTTGGGATTCTCTGTCTCCCTCTCTCTCTGCCCCTCCCCCACTTGCACTGTCTCTGGCTCTCTCAAAATAAACTGGAAAAAAAAAAAGAGTAAGGGTCTGAGACTCAGGGTTCAAATCCCACTTCCCTCACTTCCTCTGCTGTGATCTTAAGCACCTTATTTAACCACTGAGTGCCTCAGTTTCCCCCACTGTAAAATGGGCACAGTATTTACATGTTATGATATATTTTTTTTTTTCAACGTTTATTTATTTTTGGGACAGAGAGAGACAGAGCATGAACGGGGGAGGGGCAGAGAGAGAGGGAGACACAGAATCTGAAGCAGGCTCCAGGCTCTGAGCCATCAGCCCAGAGCCCGACGCGGGGCTCGAACTCACGGACCGCGAGATCGTGACCTGGCTGAAGTCGGGCGCTTAACCAACTGCGCCACCCAGGCGCCCCGTTATGATATATTTTATTATAAAAGTAACTGCCTGGTTCATAGTCTCGTTAGGGTTAAATGAGCTGCTACCTGTCACAAGCTTAGGACAGTGCCTGGCACACAGTCGTCATCATCATGTGTAGTATTACTATAGTAGAGCACAGGACTTTGTAAATGAGCAAATACGCAATCATTAGGGAGTGAGATCAGTGGCTTTTTGGTTGGGGGGTGTATCATCGCTTGGGACTGCTGTCCTCGAGCACTACACTTGGCCCCTCGAGTCCTATGGGACATGACAATCCCTGAAAGAGAACTGGTGTCCTACCAGTTCAAAGCGCGAGGACTTATTATTTATCTCCCGTGAACACCCAGGGGTGGGGGAACAGCCCCCTGTTTGGGGAAAACCCTCCAAAAGCCAGCAGTGGCTCCTCAGCCAGTGGGGGTGGAGGATGGGAAAGGGAGGTCCCTCCTGGAGCTCTGAGGGATGTTGGAGCTGAGATTGGAGCCGGAAGGGGAGGTGAGGGGTGTGGTGGGAGGGGACGGCCACGGGGCCTAAGAGAGCCCTCCAGTGAGGCTGGGCCTGGGGGCAGCAAGCTGGGCTGGGGAGCCGTGACCGGAAGTTCTGCAGGGGCCTGGGGTCTGGTGGAGGAGAGTCAGTGGGGCCGTGGGGGACTGTGACCTGTGTGATAAGGTCCCCCTGTCTGTGAAACCCTGGGCCTGGCACAGAGGGACGGGTGGGCGGGTGAGGCGGTGAGGGCCCCGGGAGGAAGGCAGCGGTGCCTGGAGGCTGGACGGGGTATGTGTTCAGAGCTGGCATGGTTTGTAGATCGAGGCATCAGGGGTCAGCCGGTCTGCCCGTCTCTCTCACATGTACACACACATCTGTGTCTTCGCCCTTTCTGAGGCCATCTCCCTACATTCCTTTCCCACCACCTCTCCTTCCTGACTCTTACGTCTTCTTCAAGGATCAGCTGGGGCCGAGTGACAGGGCAGGGCCTGGCTGCCCCTAAGGTGTGGCAGAGGGGACCCAAGACACCAGGCCGTCTGCCTCCGGTCCCCACTGCTCACCTGCAGGATGCTTGGCTCCCACAGGCTCCGTGTTTCGAAACTGCACAGAGGACGGCTGGTCAGAAGCCTTCCCTAGGCCTGACCTGGCCTGTGGGGTTAATGTGAACGACTCATCCAACGAGAAGCGGGTAAGCCTGGGCGCCCCTCTTTCTCGGGCTGGGGGCCTGCAGGGTGAGAAGCCCCTGGGAGAGGACAGAGTGGAGCCAGCCCAGGGCCACGACCAGGGGACCGGGAGCTGCTCTTGCCACCCACCCCCTCCCACTCATCAGCCGGGGTTCGTTGGGCCTGCCTCACTGCCCTAGTCTGTCAGTCTGGAGATGGTGCTCATGGAGACTGTGGCACAGTGTGAACCGCCCCACGCAGCCACGAGACCGAGGGTGATTTAGTCAGGAAACCAAAAGAGCGCCAACGTGGTGGCTAAGTGCCTGGAGCCAGGCTGGTGAGTCTAACCCTGACGGTGACCTTGGTGGGGGTGCGGGGGACTTAACTTCTCTGTGCCTCACTTTCCCCATCAGGGAAATGGGGCTAATAATGGTTCTGACCTCACAGACTGGTCAAGAGAACCAAATGAGGTCATCCAGGGAGGTGCTGAGAAGGGTGCCTGGTCATAGGAAGTGTTCAGTGAATGTTCGCTCTCAGGAGTCTCGGGCTCTGACGGGAAGAAGAGAGCCCAGCTGCTGCGGGGCAGGTCTGGTTTGAGAGGGGTGCTGAGCTGTGGGCGGAGCTTCCTCGGGGGCTGCAGAGGCCTCCCGGAAAGTGTCTGTGAGTCTCAGAGAGCCCTTCTGTCCTCACTTTTCCTGCCTGATTCATACACATCCTCCAAGACTTCACTCCTGCCCGTCAACTCCAGAAAGCCCTTTCTCCCCACCCCCACCGCCAGGGAGGGCCCTCTTGATATGCTGAGTTGGTTCCACCGTTACCTACTACGTTACACGAAATCGTCTGCATGTGCCCATGTGCATCCGTTTCTCTCACCAAAATGCGAGCTCTTCAGAGGCATTAATTCACTTAACATTTATTAAGCACCTACTGTGAGCCAAGGATGGGTCTAGATGTGGGAATATGGCAGGGACATATCAGAATCTTATTCATTTGCAGGCCCCCAGTGCCCAGCACAATGCCTGGCGCCTACTAGGTGCCCAGTGAATGTTTAGCATTGTACTGAACACCTACTCTGTGCCGGCTTCCTGACATACAATCACACTAAGTCCTCAGAAGGATCCATTATTTTCTCCATTTTGCAGAAGAGGACACTGAGGCTCAGAGGGGTTAAGGAACACACTCAGACAATAGTGGAGGCAGGAGTGAAACTGAATCAGTTCCAAAAAGAACCTGTGCTCCTTCCTCTAGCTTCTGCTGCCTCCCTGGAATGGTGCATGCCTCCCCTAGGAGATGCGCTTTTGCAGTTTCCATGGGTTAAACTCCCCAGTGGGAATACGGATGGGCAAGCACGTTTGTCCCTTGGAGGATGGGGTGGGGTCACGTTAGAGAGGCGTGGGGGGCAAAGGGCAGAGTGAAGGGAGAAAGGCTGCGGTTGGAAGACAGACCGTGCCCACTTCTCAAGTTTTTCTGAGACTCCTCTCTCTAGCCAGTCAGTCCTCTGTATGAAAGACACTGATTGGGGGACCAAGTTGGAGGCTCAAGTTTCTTCCCTCCAAGGGAAGAACTTGTTATCCAGTTGGGGGAGACACATGAAGTCTTCAGATCTGGCCAGAGTGGGATAATTTAATAACGAGACCCAAAAAGATTGATCAGTGGGTACAGATGGTCTTGGCGAGGGGGGGGGGTGGTGGATGGGCTCTGATCCCTGCAGGTTACCATTTCTATCACTGACTTACATGAGGACAGGAAGTTTATGTGTATCACGTTGGTAAGATCCATAGAATGAAGAGGGAACATTCTTATGACGAGCGGCAGCATGGAAGTTCAAAGGAATGCTTTGGGCTGCAAGAAAGAAATTTCCAACTTGCCTAATAAACGAATGTGGCTCATGGAACTGGGCTGCAGAGAACAGCCTCCATGGCTCTTATAAAGTGGTACTAAGAAGCTGCCCAAGGACCGGGCTCTCTCCATTTCTCTCCCTGCTATCCTGATGGTTCCTTCCCCAGGCTGGCACCTCCCTCGATGTAAGATGACTGCCATTGGTGACGATAGCCACAGACTCCCCTGTGCCTGCTTGTCCAGGAGAAGGGATAGCCCAAGTTCCTATGGCTCCTTCTTGAGAGCAAGAAAGCTTCTTCTTCTTCTTTTTTTTTCTTTTAATTTTGTTTAAAGTTAATTTATTTATTTTTGAGAGAGACAGAGAGAGTGCACAAGTGGGGGAGAGGCAGAGACAGAGGGGGACAGAGGATCCAAAGCAGGCTCTGGCATGACAGCAGACAGCCTGACGCGGGGCTCGAACTTACGAACCATGAGATCATGACCTGAGCAGAAGTCAGACGCTTAAATGACCGAGCCACCCAGGCGCCCCAAGAAAGCTTCTTTACCAAACCCCAGCAAGCTGTCCTCACATCTCAGTGGCCCAGTGAGTTGAGCCTGCCCACCCCTCGACCGTCCCTGGCAGGGGGGTGGAATACAGGAGAGGCCTAGGCCAGTGGTTCTCAAACCTTTTGGCCTTGGGATCCTTTTATACTCTTAAGAATTGTTGAGACCCCAGGGACCTCTTGTTTTTGTGAGTTATGTCTACTGAAACCACATTTGAGACTCTGTTGGCTTAGACTAATCAGCTGGGAAAGAACAAAGCCCAGGGCCTTAACCATCATATCCATCCAGGGTTGAAACTGTAACATCTCCAAACAAGGAACTAAGAGTTAACAAAGGTAAATGCAAAGTTTGGACTTAACTCAGAATATTAATTGGCCAAAAATAGTGGAAAGGAGACTTACCTTGACTTCAGCTCACGTAAAAAAATTAAAAAATTAAAATTCCCAAGATCGGAAGGGTTTCCCGACCAGCGTGATTTCCTCGTGCCCAGATGTTGGTCCACACACTTTGCCTTTTATCCTGAGGTTTGAATCATCTTATTTCTTATTGTTGAAATGTCTTTTTTCTTTTAATCAAAGGGTGATGGAAGTATACATTTGTTGGTTGTCTTTTTTTTAAATTTCCTTACTTGGCACATAATACTCTATTCATTAACAAAAGTCAATAGCGGACTCAGATTAGCAGAAAGACCAGGTTTGCTTACCTGGAGCAGAGTTGGGCAAACTATAGCTCTTGAGCCAAATCCAGCCCACCGCCTGCTTTTGCCACTAAAGTTTTATTGAAACATGGCTACGCCCATTTGCACTACAAGGGCAGAGTTAAGTAGTTGCAAGAGACCAAATGGCTCCCAAACTCTAAAACGTTTATTATCTGTCCCTTTACAGAAAAAGCCTGCTGACCCCTGCTCTAAAGGATATAGAAGGAAAGTGGCCTAGTCAAGAAACGCAGCAGAGACAGGCAACTTGATCCAGGGCTTCTGGACCCGATGCCCTGTGAGGACTGGTGCACCATTATAGATTATCGAGGGCTGGGGCACTCAGGTCATATCAAGCCCCCTAGGAGCAGGGCTTTTTCTGGGTCCGAACTTAAAGACATAACATAGGAATGAGTAGAGTTGGCTGGTATCCTGAGGGTCCCCCGGCAATAATGAACCCAGCCACAGGACAGTGCAGAGTAATCAGCCTGAACGCCCCATACTTGTCACCCCATGCCTCCTCACGCTGCCACAGACGGGCCCAAATCTGTTTCTGAACTGAGAGCTGCAAAATCAGGTGTCCTCAGGAGTGAGGCTCATGCCGTCTAGCATGCGGCTCATCCTGCCCGTGGCAAGATTATCGGCTGACACCTGGGGCCTCTAATTTCTTGACATCTGACTGCTCTTTACTATCCCAAAGTCTAGGCAGTATGGATCTAATGCAACCTACCACCCTCTTGGCTCTCTTTCTTGTCCCTGGGAGGTGGCTCCTGGCTTCTGGGACCGCCGTCACATTAGTGGGGAAGCTCAATGTCACATGACAGCCATCCCATCGAAGGCCACCTCTTGCTTTCAGAAAACTTTCGGGCACTCTGAGTCAGATTTCTTCTTGGTAACTTCGTCCCACTGGAGCTCACCGATTGGGTCTTACGCTTCTACCTGTCAATCATTCTAATCTTTCTCTTCCCTAAGTTTATTTGTTAGTTTCCTCAAGGCATAATGTGCCCAGTGTTTTCCATGCCTTCTTCCCTTCTCCAGAAATGTTCCAGTTTGTTAATGTGCCTCTTAAAATAGCATGATGCCCAGAACTGGACGAAACACTCCAAACGTTCCAACTTTGTCCACTGTCCTCACAGCACTTCATTACTGTAACTGAGAAGAGGCCTAATTTTTTTAGCAGCTATCTTATACCTCATAGTTCATACCATAATCTTGGACTGGTGACTCATGTTGAAGGGTGGATGATGGGGGTGGAGGGTGGAGGTGGGGAAAAATGAACATGCCCCGAGTGTCTTCTAAGTGCCAGGCATTGTCTAGATATTCTACCTGATACTTTATTTGTTCTTCCAATGAGCCTGCAAGGTAGATATTATCCCCATTTTACAGATGAGGAATCTGAGGCTCAGAGAAGTTAAGTAATTTGCCCAAGGTCACACAGCTGGTGAGTAACAGTCGTGGGTTTGGAAACCTTGTCTCTTGGCTCTGAAGCCTGTGTTCTTTCCCTACGGTACATTTCTTTCTTTTTTTTTTTTTTTTTAATGTTTATTTATTTTTGAGAGAGATACAGAGCATATGCAGGTAAGGGGTAGGGAGAGAGGGGGACACAGAATCTGAAACAGGCTCCAGGCTCTGAGCTGTCAGCACAGAGCCCGACGCGGGGCTCGAACTAACAGACCGTGAGATCATGACCTGAGCCGAAGTCGGCCGCTTAACCGACTGAGCCACCCAGGTGCCCCTCCCTCCGGTACAGTTCTTAACACCACGGAGCTTGGGCCATTTGAACCTCAAGGTCATTTTCATATAAACAGCTGTCAGCAAGATTTCCCCAATACTATTCTTGTGCCTGTTATTATTTTTTTTTTTTAATTAATTACCCTCTTCTTCTGATTATACCATAGTACTTACCCACTGGAGAAAAATGAAAAGAGTAGAAAAAATACAAATAAAAATACCCACTCTAGCCACAAACTTATCATCCAAAGTTAACCATTATTAACCTCTAGCATCTTTTTACGTAGTGTGTACATAGTGTAACACTTTTTACAAAGTGTGTGTGTGCACATGAGCGGGAGAAGGGCAGAGAGAGAGAGAGAGAGAGAGCGACAGAGAGGGAGAGAGAAAATCCCAAGCAGGCTCTGTGCTGACAGCATGGGGACTCGATCCTATGAACCATGAGATCATGGACTGAGCGGAAATCAAGAATTGGACACTCAACCAACTTGAGCCACCCAGGCGCCCCTCCATTGAGATCTTTCTGAATCAAAGATGAGTCAGTAATGTGAAGGGGCTGTTGGCTACGTTAAGTAAATGCCTGCTTGGCTGTGTTAGTGTAAGCGCAGTGTATGGGTCCGGGGAGGTGATGGTCCCACTCTACCCCTTCCTGGTCAGAGAATACACTAGATCTTTCCAGCTGTCCGTTCTGGGTGTCTTATTTAGGAAGGGCATTGACAAACTGGAGCATATTAATTGAGCAGAAGGATAAAGGACTGTGGAAAGATACGGAAGGCACAGGAAAAATGTAAGGCTAAAATACATGTGAGAGATGAGAGGGTAGAAAAGCTGTATTAAGAAATGACAGACCTCTCTAAGATCTTTGCAACTCTTCCATAAGTCCAAAACTATTCTAAAATGAAAAGTTTATTTAAAAAAAATAATGACAGAGGGGCGCCTGGGTGGCTCAGTCAGTTAAGCTTCCGACTTGGGCTCAGGGCATGATCTCATGGTTCATGGGTTCGAGCCCAGTGTGGGGCTCTGTGCTGACCGCTGAGAGCCTGGAGCCCCACTTTGGATTCTGTGTCTCCCTCTCTCCCTCTCTCTCTATGTCTCTGTCTCTGTCCCTCTCCACCTCACGCTCTGTCTCTCAAAGATAAATAAACCCTTTTAAAAACAATTAAAAAAATAATGACAGGTCTTAGGTACATGACAAATTCAGTTTATTTTAAGTGGCTCCAGAAGCAGAATTGGGACAAATAGCTGCAATTTAAAATAGGTTTTAGTCTCACATGAGAAAAAACTATCTAATATTCTGCCCTGTTGTATACCAGATGACTTCCTCAAAAGGCAGTGAGCCCTGAATCCTTGGAGGTATTCCAGCAAAGGCTTGAATTCGGGGTGGGGGTAAGGGGTCCTATACATGGGGTAGAAGTTTGAGTTGGCATCTGATGATCCCCAAGATCTTTACCAAAGCCAAGGTGTTCCGAGTCTGTGAACTGATGTCCGTGGAGTCGGATCAGCACAGCATTAAGAGTTGAAAGGTTCAAGCAGCCTGAGCAGGTGCACTCAGGCTGGGACTGATGCATGCTTCTCTCTGCAGCACGAGTACCTGCTGAAGCTGAAGGTCATGTACACCGTGGGCTATAGCTCCTCCCTGGTGATGCTCCTGGTTGCCCTCAGCGTCCTCTGTGCTTTCCGGTGAGAACACACTGCCAGCTCTCTGTCTCCCCAGCCTTCCGCAGACACAGATTTTGGGTCTTTTTCAGTTGCTCGGGCCAAGAGAAAGGAAGGTCTGGGTGGGCCACTTTGTTAGCCCTTGATCTAAATGTTACCTGTGGCAAAACATTGATGTTTCTGAGACCTCGTTCATTCTTTTATGCATTCAACATTGACTCGGTATATATAACTAAAGCAACGCACAGTTGCTTTACATGTACTATTCTGATTTTCACACAATGCTCTAAGGTAGGTATTATCACCCCCATTTTACAAGTATGTTAGCCAGACTCTTGGGTACAAGAAACAGAAATCCACCTTAAAACAGTTTAAGAAGGGGCGCCTGGGTGGCTCAGTCGGTTAAGCATCCGACTTCGGCTCAGGTCACGATCTTGCGGTCCGCGAGTTCGAGCCCCGCGTCGGGCTCTGTGCTGACAGCTCAGAGCCTGGAACTTGTTTCGGATTCTGTGTCTCCCTCTCTCTCTCTGACCCTCCCCCGTTCATGCTCTGTCTCTCCCTGTCTCAAAAATAAATAAACATTAAAAAAAAATTGAAAAAAAAAAAACAGTTTAAGAAAGCAAAGGTGACCTGGCACACATAACTGACAAGTTCAGGGGTCTCTGGCTTTAGGAATGGCCGGCTCGAGGTGGTCAAAGGTATCAGCAGAACTAGATGTGTCTCCCTCCCTTTCTCCAGTCTGCGTTGGCCACATCCTCAGGCAGGCTCTCTGCAGGGGCACCTTGCACCAGCTAGGTAACACCAGGACAAAAAGAGCCTCTTCTCCATTAGATGCAATGAAAAGTCCTGGGGGGAATGGGGGGCGGGGGTTGTTCTCATAGGCTGGGCTTGGATCACATGCCCAACCTGAGCCAGGGGTGGAATACTGTGATTAGTCGAGTCTGTCAACAGGGTGGGAGGGTGGAGTTGCCCCCACCCAGAGCTGCAGTGGGTTCCCCATAAGAGAGCGTGGTTCTCGTACCAGAAGACGAGGAGCAAGCAACCGATGCTGACCCCTCCAGCAGAGAAGGAAACAAAGTCTCTGGAAGGTGAAAAGGCTTGCTCGAGGTTGTACAGCCCTTGTGGTTCTGGCCCCTATGGCCCTGCATTCTCTCCCTCCAGGAGGCTCCACTGCACCCGCAACTACATCCACATGCACCTGTTTGTGTCCTTCATCCTGCGTGCCCTGTCCAACTTCATCAAGGACGCGGTCCTCTTCTCTTCGGACGACGTCGCTCACTGTGATGCCCACAGGGTAACATGCCTGCGTGCCCTGGGGTGTGGCCAGGCCGGCCCGCTCTCCCCAGCCTGACTTTGGAGAGGGTGGTAGCCACTTTGCCTTTCCAGAAGGTCCCTGCGAGGCTGCACCCAATGCTTCGTAGAGGGCCCAGTACTGGAGCCGGGCCAGGAGGTTTGGGGAGAGTCCCATGTCTCCCCATGCAAGGTCTGGGTCATGTATGAGAGCAGTTTGTCAGGAAGCCCCTGGGGGCTGCCCTTCAGCTCCCAGCATCCAGGAGTGGATTAGCCACTGTGGCAATTAGATGTATAGCAAGGCTTGTCTTTTCCCTTCATCTGCAGAGTCCTAACGGTAGAGAGATGGTCAAGTTTAAAGAGGGTTGAGGTTGGTGGTAGAAAGAAAAGTATGAGCGTATGCCTATATGTCTGCACACACAGGTCTGCAGTACAACAATTGTTTTGCTAAGTCCAACACTTTTCTCCTTCTGAGTGCTTAGAGAGCCTTATTTCTTAGCAATATCTCTCTGTGTATCAGTTGAGACTCTCTTTCGCTGCATATAACAAAAAACTGCACATCAGTGGCTTAAACAGACAGGAGTTGTTTCCCACATAAGCAGTCCACAGATGGGCAATCTAGAGGTGGCACAGTGTCTCCATGATGCCATGGCGGGCCCAGTCATTTTCCCTCTTTCTGCTCTGCCATGTTTGATTCCATGCTTTACACCGCATGTTTACAATACGGCTGCCACAACCCCAGGCTTCACATCCATGTTCCAGGCACAAAGAAAAAAAAAAGAGTCAAGATGAAACTTTTTTTTTGTCTTTGGGCAGCTTTGCCTTTTTATGGTGGGAAAGAATCCTCACCCCAAGACACCCATCTACATCTCGTTGGCTAGAACCATGTCATGTGACCACACCTAACTGCAAAGGAGGCTGGGAGATTGAGGTTTTT